TATTTCCCCTGCAGAAAGGCTTATTTGTGTGATCTGAGTGCCATTCATCTAATAATGTGCACTCAGATCCCAGCTATCTGGGGATATGTGAAATGTCTGTGTGTTATGTGTAAATGTGACTTTATGTATTTTAAAGTGTTTTGTGTCTTTTTGCAACCATGTGCTTAATGGAGTCTTGTGTCTATCTTGGGAGATAATTGAATTACTTATCTCCAGGATAGAAGACTCTGAAACTGGTTTGGGCCAGAAAGCCATGCTTCATTTAGTCACAAAGGACTTTTTACTAACTTTTGAACCCCTTGTCTGATTTGTGCCATTTTGAATATGTTGTTCCCCTGAATGGATTGATTGTGAATATGTAATTTTATGTGAATGTGATGTATGGTTTTAGAGTTATGAAAGTTGGGTAGAAAGTATGTTTTAACTGTATGTGTAATTGAGTTTCCTCTCAGGATAAGGGGAGGGAATATGTGGGATGTAACTGATATGTGATTGGTTGTTTTGTAACGCCCTGTGGGCTGTACTATGTTTGTGGATTGGGAATAAAAGAGACTGTATGTGACAGTACAGAGAGTTCCTGTTTTAACCCTCAAAGTGAAGTGTCGTCTCATTATTGGGGGAAGGATTTATTGTATGCTGTTCCAGTTTGACTGCTAGGAGAGTAAACCTATTCGTATGGTTCCTATTCAACTGTCTACAGCATTCATATGCTTGAGAGGATTCATATGCTTCTCCGGTTCGGTGGTTGTGGTGTCTGCTGCAGTGCTTGGAGTCCTCAGGAAGCGCTAGGAGCATCTTTTAACGGAGGTACCCAGTCGGGGTGCCAGGCGATCCGTTACACTACTTATGTTATATATCTCATAGAATGTCCCTGTGGGAAGCAATGTGTGGGCTGTACCTGCAGGCAACTTAAAACTAGAATAGCAGAAAACATTAGAGCCATTAAAAATAAAAGCACCAACCGTGGAGAATCCATCCAATTTTTGGAAAAACATAAAGCAAATCCTAATGGATTGATAGTGAAGGCAATAGAATCCATTCCACCTACTATAAGAGGGGAGGGTGGTAGACTTAGAAAATTGAGAAAGAGGGAATCATATTGGATTATGGAGTTGGTACCTTGGTGGTTTAAATAATGATCTAGATCTTGCAGCATTTAATTCAACGTTCATATATATATACGTGTACGTTTATTTACTTAAATATTATATATATATGCCGGCCAACAAACCCCCGGCAGCAAACAGAGGGAGGGACCTGACAATATATGTAGAAAAAGAAAATTACTGCTCAGTTAAAATAAATGAACTACATAAAATAAATAAACCATTTGGCTCATTTGTACACTTGTTCATTTTCTGGCAGTGTATTTGATCGCATGTTTTATTATTCTTGTTTTAATTTTGGTCCCTGAGGAATAGTGATGTCCCGAACGGTTCGCCGAACGGTTCGAGAACGGTTCGCTGCGGAGTCATTATTGAGTAAACTTTGACCCTGTACCTCACAGTCAACAGACACATTCCAGCCAATCAGCAGCAGACCCTCCCTCCCAGACCCTCCCACCTCCTGGACAGCTCACTAAGAATGCAGCTTCACAATGAATGTAAAATGGATGCTGTCCAGGAGGTGGGAGGGTCTGGGAGGGAGGGTCTGCTGCTGATTGGCTGGAATGTGTCTGCTGACTGTGAGGTACAGGGTCAAAGTTTACTCAATGATGAGTCCGCGGCGAACCGTTCGGGACATCACTACTGATGAAGTTTCCTAAGGGAAACGAAACGCGTAGGACCGTTGTTACTTTTTTATTATATTTTAAAGCCAATAAATTCCTTTTTTACTCAACCATTGGGAGCGTGTGGACTTCCTGATTTCGGAACTGGCGTTATCACCAACGACAGGACTAACCCCCCTGACCATAGGGGAGGCACCCTAAAGGCCTGATACAAAACATCAATTTGTGAGTGTAACCTTGAAACGTGAAGCGAGTGTTTAAGGCTGTAACTCTATTACACTATGTTGTATTTTATGTTTATATTTTATTGATACAAGCTGGATCCCTGATCTATTTGTATTCTATAATACTCTGTATACAGTTATCAAATTGGGAGGTAACTTAAGGGAAGCAAGTATCCAAAAGTTAAGTCAAATTTCATTTTCCACGGGTGATTAGGTGGAAGCTATGTAATGATCTAGATCTTGCAGCATTTAATTCAACGTTGATATATATACGTGTACATTTATTTACTTAAATATTATATATATATGCCGTCCAACAAACCCGCGGCAGCAAACAGAGGGAGGGACCTGACAATATATGTAGAAAAAGAAAATTACTGCTCAGTTAAAATAAATGAACTACATAAAAGAAATAAACCAAATAAAACAGAAACTGGTTATGAAACAGTTTTTATTAAACAATGCACTTGTTCTCATATTAGATTGAGCCAGTGCGTAAACATGTTCCTATTACAGAGAAAAACATCCACGCTTCATGGTTTTCATTTAACTGTTTAAAAATAAAAAAGAAACATTTTAAACTCATGTCCTCTTAGTCCTTCCCTGGTGACATGTTTGACCACCCTGTCCTATCGCTTCCCCTTCCCAACTCCTAAGAAATAATGTCAATAAATCCCAAGGGAGGATGGCTATATGAGAAGTTCACAGCAGTCAAGTGGACTTATCAATCATTCTGACAGTTCCACCTGTGCTCATGGGTTAGAAAAAAAAAAAAAAAAAGAAAGAAACTAGCAAACTTAAAAATTTAATTTTGGGAAAATCTGCTAAGGATTTATTTGTGCATTCATTAAAAATATAGATCATTAACCAATGACATGATCATCATATGCCACATAAAACATGAATATTTAACTACGTTTCCTCTAGTAACTTGTCAGCCTATTGGCCGTGATGCTCCTCTATGTTTTGGGGTTGGGAATGAGAATTCTGCACTGTCGAGAAACAGTGGGAATCTTCACCCAATGTAACAAGAATCCTTAATTTGCAATGCCCGACAAACGGATCATCGGTCAGGCACAGCTGCGATGTGAGCTGGATTCTAGAAAATAAAAAGAAAATAGCCAAAACATCTCAATGTCACAAGCTAAATTCCTTTATTTATACGCTATGAGCTTTTGTTTTTCAAAGTGGTTGCACGGCTGATTAGTCAGTCGAGGATCTTCTTAACTAGTTTTACACTTTAATTAATAGACTTTTAAGTAACCACAAGGGTTTTGTGAGAAGCAAAATCTACGCAGGACATTTCTCTTTGAAGAGCCCAGCCATTCCTGTCTAGGATAATTTAAGTCATACTTAGCTAAAACAACAGCGGCATGCAATCTAATGTATAGTCTTCTATCTGTTTTATGTTAAAACAAATCCCTACTGAGCTGAAAGTGGCCAACGTAAAAGTTAAAGCGAGGATTTAGATTTATTGCCACCTGTTACAATAACGTTGTCTCATTTCACTCTTGTTTATAGATAAGACCTATCTTCTGGGGGCTCATTAGAGAGTGGCCGCAGGGTAATCCCGATATCTAAACTACAGCTGTCTAATTGGTCTACACTGTCTTTGCTTTTATAATGGGAAATGGTTATACAACACATCTAATTAGATTGTTAAATATAATGGTAAAGAGCTAAGGAATGTTCCCTTCTATTCCTGGTGGCAGCCAAGAGCTTATGTACGAAGCAATTATTTTTTTTTTTTTCTACAGCAACCCCCTCTTCTGTTTCAATGTTCTTAAGTTGCATGAGAACTTTAAAGAAGAAGGGAAAAAAAATAGTTTTTCAACAAGAAATAAATCATAAACTTGCTATCTGCTTTTTTTTCTCCTCGCCATTTGTTTTACATCTTTCATTAATGATATCATTGTTGAGCCAACTGCATGTTTATAATGCATTTTCTGTTTTCTTCATGTAATTCCTCAAGAATGTTTGCCACAGGCACAACTTGGTGTCCTAGACTAGTAAACAGACTGGTGTAGAATGTCGCAGGTTTTACATAGTATAGATTGTTTACAGATGTAGGTCATATTTTTTTTTTGGGACGCAAGGCAAAAGGTTGCTTGCTGTCCTACAGCCATATGTATAATGAACAGTGCGAGTGTCCGTTATTTGAAATTATTCCAGGTATTGTAACAGGTTTGATAACACATGCTGAAAACCCGGCAAACATTGTATGTATTAAGATAGATGTATAATCAAGTATTCAATTATATCCTGGACCCTTTTGGAACATTCTGCCTATTGTGGTACGACTACCTGCTAGTAGAATGGTAATCATTTTTATTCACTACAGTAGGAGGTGGCGTTATCTGTCATGGTAGATATTGTGGTCTACTTACAATTTAGAAAGAGATTTCTAAAGCATCAAGGAAGATTTAATCAACATCTAAAAGGGCAGCTGTTACACATCACTTCACTCTTGGTTCCAACCCAAATAGAATGTTGGTAGCACAATTTAAAATAGCACGGATTCTAGTTCCTTCTTTAGTAGTGGTAGGTACAGACCTATGTTTTTGCTAAACCCAGTAAAGTCACTATCAGGACCTTGGGTTGTAATGTGTTAAATGCACATTTAAGCTTGTGATTGATTTGGAAAATAGAGCATTTCTAATAATAGATTATTTCTCCCTGCTCTTCCCAGGATCATGTCCCCCAGCAGTGGGAATCTCTGAAGCACCTAACATTGGTTTATGATGGAGCAAATCCAAGATTCCACTTCCGCTTACATAGATAGGATGAGGAAAGTGAAGGCAGGGGTAATTCCAGTTGTGTCAGGAGCACTGGAGCATGGCTTCAGCAGATTCCAGGGAAGGGCATATGAGAGCTTTGTCCAGAAAAGTGCAGTTCTAGGAACAGCTAAGAACCCTCAGACTTCCAGGCCTCTGCTTAAAGATACTAGAATGATGGTGGCCTAACCACTGAAGCGGACGGTCGCAGGATTGCTGAGCTCCAGGCCTGAAACTGACAAAACCCACTAAAAACACCCACAATCGGGTCAAATTTAACCCAGACGGACCCAAACGTTTAGGTAAACGCGATGGGGCGAAAGACAAAAAAGTTAAAGCCCGAAAAACTCCACCCGGGCACACATATTGGCGAGTTGTGGCGGAAGGCCCAAGAAGCCTCTCTCCCTAACATGGCGTCCCTTCATGGCGGATGCTCAGACTTCTACAGTGAGTCTTCGGATGAAGCAGAAGGGGAGCCCCTACAAGCCAACCCCAAACTCCCACTGAATCGAACACAGCCCCCACCACCCGCCGCAACCCCTACCCCGGTGAGCATGGAGGCCATCAGAGAATTAATGGCAGACCACCATAACAAAATATCAGCGGATGTGGCCTCAATTCGGGACACGCTGAAGGGCCTCAGTGGACGACTTGGAGCTGTGGAACACACCACGCAAGCCCAAGACACACATATCAAGGAGCTACAGCAAGAGATACTGGCGCTGAGGAACCTGTCCAAACAAAATGACTTACGGTTTGCAGAGCTGGAAGATAAACGTCGGCTGAAGCATCTCAAGATCAGAGGAATAACAGATACTGTGACGGACTCTGAACTGCCCCATTTCGTGAGGCGGCTCCTCACGACAATGCTAAACCCAAAACATGCTAAAGCAGTGATACTGGATGAAATATTCCGTATCCCAAAACCCGCTAAAGCTCCAGACGCAGCCACCCGTGATGTGATCCTGCAGTTTCAAGCCCAAAGAGACAGATCCGCAGTTCTGGCCGTGGCCAGGCTCCAACAGACCTACCCCTTCGAAGGCATGAACTTAATGTTTTATGCGGACCTCTCGGGAGCCACTTTAGCCTGGAGGAGATCCCTGCAACAATTGACATCACTTCTGCGGGAGAAACATGTCACATACCGCTGGGGCCCGGCTCACACCCTGATGGTAACAAAAGGCGAAGATACGCATAAAATTCACTGCATACAAGAGGCATCGATGATCCTGGGGCTGCTCGGCCTCCCCCCGAACGCATTGACCCAGCCAGCACCTAAGGACAGGCCTCGGAACCCCCCAAGTTGGGAAACAGCTAGCGCTGCTGAATTTGTCCCCAGACAACAGAAAGAATCACCCACCGTCGCTGCCACGACCTGAAGGTCAATTCTGGACTGTGTGAGTTACCGGGACATTGCCCCACCACTAGGCATATTATGCATAGGGACGGCCATGCACAACCCAAACCCACACTACTGAACAACCCAATCGTTTCCACCCCATCATTATATTTAGCACTATGACTTCAACTGTTTCCCCTTTCCTTGTTATTTTCTCTCGAACACCATAGTGAGCTTGTAGTTCACACCAACCAGTTAAATCTGATGCCAGAAATGTTCACTCACCTCTTAGTACATTCGATATTGCCTTGCCAAATTATAACAATATACATTGTTTTATTCCTGATACGACACTGTTTGTGCCCATAGACCTGTGGACGCGAATGAGGCACTATAGAATTATATGTACGATGCATAGCATAACAAAAACTAACTTTTAAGGGAGGGAAAAGATAGGTTATCAAAGGAGAAGAGGAGGAGGGGAAAGGGGAGGAATAATCTAGGTGTTAAGGTGTATTGGACTGCTCACACCCGAGTTCTGTTGTCTTCCTAGTTTATCGTATTTTATTACACTTTTTCATCACCTAGTACTTCGACCATCAAACGTAGTCTCTGGTACAAACTCGCATATTAGTCACTACTTATGTTAAGCTAGATCTCCCCGCTGACATAACCATAAGAAATGAACGCTGAGAATCCACCTCAGCATCCTTACGGGTGATTCTTCTGTGTATAACTTAACCAGAGACCGCTTAGGTCAAAAAATGCCAGATTGTTTATTTCCCTTTATTTTTAATGCTAACGTGGACATGGTATGTCCCTCTCTGTTTGGTGGTATGTTACTTTGCTTATATATTTACCTTTAACATTTAACCTAATTTTCATTTAATTGCACTTAACCTAGCCAAACTTTATTATTTTCTATCAAGTCAGTAAGTCAACCAGTATTAACACCTGTACTTATAGCCTTAACTGACACGCAAGACTAAAACTTATAAATATAACTTCGCCTACAACCTACAACTTAACGTTAATTAATATGCTGATATCTCCATGTTACTACTGTATCAAAGCTGTGTTTATGCTTCTTGAATTTATCATTGCGACAAAGACAAATGTTCAGCACATCTCGAGCGTTGCTCACTCATTGCTTATATTTTCTTTTATAAAACTAAAATTGTGCTGTATAGTCATATGCCACGTTATGTTTCCTCTGTATATTACTGCTTGTGACTGCTGTTGTGGCTGAACAAGCCTATTGTTAATCCATGCACTTCAAAAATAAAGAATTTAAAAAAAAAAAAAAAAAGATACTAGAATGATAAATAATCACCCAGATGACACCCAGAAGGACTGAGAAAATCAATTCAATTTTCTATATAAATATATATAGTTGTTTAGTGCAACAAGTGCAATATTGATAACACACACGAGAGATGGAGCAAGCCAACTTGCTTGTCATGCTTGCTTGTAACCCCTAATTTTCATCCCGATGCATACTGAAATGATCAAATAAGGTGTTGTCTACTGTTTGATTATTTTGACCTTGGTGGCTTCAATAGCTTGCTTTGTGTCACCATAATATCATGACGGATTAGGGGTTTCTCTTCCACTTAGTTTGAACACCCTCCTGTCATAACTAAATATTTATCTTTATTGGATTCCCATGGATTAGTTTCTTTTTATAATAAAGCGTATATGATGTCAATGGTTTCATCTACCAATAAACACATGCTTAGTATTTTTGCATGTTACCCTTTTCATTATATTTATTTGATACTTGTGGTGTTGTTCTTCATGCTTCAAACAGAATCCAAACACGCATTCGGTCTTAGTCGCTTACTTCTGCATCACTAAATAAACCTCAGTTCTGTGTGGTAGATACAGGCCTTCTTTAAACTAAATGAAAACATGTATAATTATAATTTTTTTTTCAATACCCTCAGGCTTGAGTTAACCACAAATATGCTACTAACAAAAATTGTAGGTGCATTGAGGAATATTTTTAGAAGAACATGAAGGGAACTTTGAAATCAAAGGGCCAAACTCTTGAAGAATGGTATTTCTTTTTACTTGATCGACAGGAAGGTGTTTTGGAATGTTTTATACATGGCTGAGACTTAATCGCTGTAAATGTTATTTATATAGTGACATAATTTTAATACAATTATATAAATAGATGTGATTTTCTTATTTTTACATAACATTGAGGGCAATGTTGCACCACAAAAAAATGACTAACACATAACATAAAGAAACATGGGTTTATATGTATATTTCTTCAAGGACGGTTGCAAGGATTTTTGGTTAAACAGCCAAAGATGTATTTTGCCACCTATTTTTCCATGTCCCTAGCCCTCTGCGTGTCACTTTCCCAAACCCCATTTGGTGTGTCGACCAGTCTCTTTATGGTCTCCTCCACACTCTCCCGCTGTGCTTTTTTGGTCTCTTCCCCTTTCCCTCCTGCTTACCTCCTTGTAGCGTGGCCAAGTGGACAATGGTAGAGGATCTTCAGTATCTGACAGGAAGCTGTTCATTGCGAGCAGCTTCCTGTCAGACCCAGTAGAGGTTGCATAATATCCTCTCCTGCATTAAGTGACTGGCAGGAGGTCATCTGGAGATTGCCCCCAGGTATTAGATTTCCTCTAAGGTACAGTAAGCATTTTATTAGCATTTCTTTTCTAAAAGGAGGTGAGTAATTGTGGCATAGTGAGCTCCACCCAATGACATCCACATTTTATTTTTTATTTGTAGTCTATACGCTTTTTATGTAGCTTCACAAAACCCTATATTAAATGTTTCCCTTTTTCAATGCATAGGTGTTGTCTTTAACTTTGTTTTGCCTTATTGGGTGCATTGGGCAATCTTAGCTATCAATACAAACCTGCAGCGGTTGGAAATATTTTGTTCACTGCATACAGACATAAATCTACTAACCTCTATCCAATATCTGGATCAACGGCCTAAATCATGTCCATTTCTGTAACAAATGCTTTGTCATTTAAGTTTTATTCCCTGTAGGTTCTCTAGCTATTCAGTCATTTATGATTCGGAACGGCCAATATATGATTGTGAATGTGGATGACATGAACTTTATTAACGGCCGAATGAATGTCATTTTCCAAATATATAGTCAGTGAAAGTTAGCATCGAGTCTACTAAACAGCTAATTAGATATCCTTAAATATGGCAATCCCACATAGGAGACTATCTACTAAACAGATGAAAGATCAAAATTAAGAAAAGTTTGACAATGTGTAATTTTAAAAGCCCAAATACAAAATTTACTGGATTTAATGGCCAAAATTTGGACAGACCAAATTGTGCAATGGCTGTAACTCATCTTATCCGAACCATACATTTTTTTCTCTCGAACAAATCAATTCAGACAAATCAATTTTTTGCTCAATGGATTATTCCTACACACCATGTGGGTTACTGTATGAAGCAAGAATGATAGTGGTTATAGAGCATTGACCAATTAGTTCCAAAACCCTAGCCAATTACAAGTTCCAACAACAATCTCTGTTCCAAATGCAGAGCCCAGGTATTGCCCAATGTGCCTGCATTAATATCACCTGCCAAAAGTCAGGTAGATTCCTACTTCCTTGCCAACAAAAGTTACCCTACCATGGCGTAGAATAAAATGGTTGTTCTCTTTACCTAAAAGTAAATTTTTAAGATTTTAATACTTTTCATATCCAGTATAGTCTAACTATCCATAACTTTCTTTAACATCTGCCCCACAAAAATTGAATATGAATTAGCTGGGGGAAAAAAATATAAATTAAAACAAAGCTAAAACATTTAAATGTGAATAATGATTAATGTTAATTTTAAAATTTTATATGAAGTTTAGAAAACCAAAACTGTAGGGAAAATCACGTGAAATGGTGAAACATAAATATGCAAAGATGTCACCAGTAACATACAAGATAAAAGCAATAAAGTCCTAAATTTCTTACCAGTGAAAATGCATTAAGGGAAAGCATATCTAACGGAACTGCATAAAATAATTAAGCAAAAGCGGCCAAAAAGGGCGAAGTCTACCAGTATTTTAAATGAATAGTTGTCCCTTCACCTTTAGTGGGATTTTTTGTGGTTGAAGTCATGTGGAACAAATCAGTCAATCCATCTTTTACTCTGGGAACTTGGTAGAAATTGAGCAGAATATGGGAAGGCTGCTTCTTATGTCAAAAATAGTGAAAACTCCAATGTTTTGAGGTCTCATTCCTATAGATATTTTATATACGTTTGCACATTGAATTACAGTAAACGCTCATCCTGTTTGGACTATTTTAAACGAAAGACTTGCGTGTCAGCAGCTCGATAATTGAGGAATGCCTAAGAAAATAATATCTAGTAAAACGTTCTGTTTAATTTTTTATTTTTTTTTGAACTTCAGTGGGTAAAGGGTGGAGCCGTTAACTAGTTTTATTGCAAACTTAAACTAACTTAATATGTTGTTACGGCAGTTATCTTTGTGGTTTAATCTGTTTTTCTAGCAGATGCAAAACTGGCAGAGCGATTTAAGCTGATTTATGCATTTCGCAGTGTGAGGGTCCCTCGCTGGAGATTTAAGCCTGATATTGTATATTAATATCACATGTGAGAAAATGTATGTTTGGTTTTTATATAATACTAAACATTTTTAAAAATATATTAATGTCAACATTAGTGAAGTGAATGCACAATCTAAAAAGCCACCATGATTGAGGATGGAAAGGGTACAAATAGTACCTCCAAGCCCGAGGGTATAATCTCAGTGTCGTGTGACATTTTTTTCCACTGTAGTGCCAGGTCTGAGACTGCATTTCAAATATTTGGTTGAAAGATTGGGACGTTATTCACTAAACAGTGTGCAAAGTGCCTTGTGGAATGTACCTCAGAATCAGAGGCGTTGGAGATACACTCTCTCTGCTTCTACCCTGCCCCCGGCTCACCCTGTTTCTCCTCTGCCCCAGATACACAAACTGTAACACATGCAGACACACAGAAACAAACACTGACACACATATAGATACAGATACACAGACACACTTACAGATACACACATTCACATACATACAGATGCACAGACACACAAAAACAATGATACACAAACATACAGATACAGACAATATAAATCATTGACACACATGCATATACACAGACACACAGATACACACATACAGGTACACAGACACACACCCTGACACAGATACATACCCTGACACAAATATACATAGACTGACACACATGCAGATACACAAATACAGACACTGACACACACAATGACACACAGATGCATACACTGACACACATACAGACA